TTTTTTTTTTTTTTTTTTTTTTTTTTTTTTTGGGGAATTAGGGCCAAAGCCATATATTCATGAAAAATTAATTTACAAGTAAAAAATAAGGACCTATAAAGTAAAAACATGAAGTAAAATTACAAAATGAGAGACAAGAAGAAGTTTAAACAGTCAAAAGGGGTATCAGGAAGAGGCCAACCCTCAAGCAACAATACAAATCAGATTGGAAATAGACAGAACACCTAGGCATCCAATTCAATGATGAGCGAGCAAAATATGACATAGGTCATCCAAGACAATACAATTCGGTTGCCATAAACCCAGGAAAGGAAAACACCGAGAGAGCCAGGCAACACCATCTCACAGGGAAGCAAGGAAACAAAACATCTGAAAGCAATTCGGTGTTAGTGCACAGGCTAACCCCATTCATCATCAACCATATCAAAAATGTCGCATCCAGTAATAACACCCGATCGGAATAACACAGTTATAAAAATGCCCAAAAATCTTAGTTGAGCATAGGAAAACGAGCTGAGAGCTTGTGAAAACTTTTCAAGCATCTAACTTTTTGTAAAATGACATTCTTAATGGTTTGGGTGATCTATTCAGGGCTGATCCAAGAATTAGCAAAATGACGTCTGTTTCGTTCCAACCAAAGATTGTATACAATGCAAGCAACCACAAAAAAACAAAAATTCTTTTCCTCTCCATTAAAGTGCAGGGCATTGTCAAAGAAATCAAAACACCTCTAAAAGAGGTAGAACCGAATAAAGCACCGTAAATGAGTAGTCACAGTCAAAAAATATGTGCTTATGCGTTTCTTGAGCATATTGATAGAAAGAGCATGAAGGATTGACCGGAATTGCTCTTTTAATTAACACATCTGCACATTTGAGCTTCTCAATGATGACCATCCACACATACCAGGAGTATCTAAGAGCATGTCGTTTGTGCCAAATAAATTTATGCTAAGTAACCACATCCTTATGATAAAAAAACTGAGCTAAAAAGACTTTAAAGGAGGGATTTGTTGAGCCAATCCAGGACAGGGCCGGTTGCTCAACAATAGGGGTGTTAGGAATATTAGTTTTCACATTATCCGGCCAACAATAAGGAATTACCCAATTAAGGTTCTAAAGAAAGTCTTTCACTTTTAGATGCTCTAAATTTGCCACAGGAATAGAGTATGCAACGGAGGAACCCTTGAACCAAGGATCCCAAACCATTAAAATATTACCATGAGAAGAAACAAACGTGATAATATTTCTTTTTGATTTTATGAGTAGTGGAGCAAACCAATTTCCAGAATTTAGAGGCGGTAGCAAGCGTTTGTTTCCAAACGAAAATATATTTGATTTTAACCAATTGCTAACAGTGGAATGAGCATTATAGAACCTCCAAATGAAAGAGCAGGAGGCGACATGATAAATAGCCTCAATAGATGGAATGCCTAATGTCACGACCCGGCCCGGTGAGCTCGCGGAGGCGAGGTAGGAACGGATGGTCGGACGATAGGTCAAATATCTAATGTCTGAAACTATCTCCATAATAATTGAAAGAGCCTCTAAAATGGAGAAGGGGGGGGGGGTTTGCTATATTAGAGAGAATAGGGAATGCTAAAAGACAAAATTGCCCTTACTTAACTAAATTTAGGCTTTTAAATGATTAAGGGTAAAATCGTCATTATGAAACTTCGTTAAATTTTAACTCCTAAAATAGGCTAAATTAGGTAAGGGTTATTTATATAGAAACGATCAAAATTTTGCGTAGGATTTTCTAAAATTATACCCATCGAAATCCGACAACATTGAATTTATCACTTAAAACTCGTCGCGGTGCTTTGAAAAGCGTGTGAGGTCTAAAACGGCATTTTTCGGGTTTTCACACCTAAGCCACTAAATTAGGTAGGAAGGGCCATGTCTTTCCAAGAAATAATATGCTATTTCCTGTCATATATGTTATTATGGAAAAGAAATTTTAAACATAATTTTGAGATGATTTTTTGACATTTCAAAGGTATAATGGACCCCCTAATCCAATAGGCAATAGTGTTGACTATGGTGTACTTGAGGAATTGAACTCTACCTGTAAAAGAAAGGAATTTAACTTTCCAACCATCAAGTATAGCAAAAATTTTATTCATGAGTGGTTGGAAGTGAGTAAAGCCTTTTATGAGAGATGGGGATCCCTAAATATATATTTTAGATAGGGTTCCACCAAGGAAATCCCAAGAGTGTTGGAAACTACATCAGTGAATGAAGAATTTTTTGAAAATAGGATGGAGCTCTTGTTGGGGTTAACAAAAAAGACCAGAAGCATTGGCAAAACCTACTAATGACTCCTTCAGCAATGCGACAGTGGTAGGAGAGGCATCCCCAAAGATAAGAAGGTCACCCGCATATAACAGATGGTTCAGGATAACATCACCACGATTTATGCCAAATGAGGGCATTGGGTTATTATGGAGGAGGCAATAAGAAAGGTCATCCATAACAATACAGAAAGGAAGAGGAGATATGGGGAAACCTTGTCGAAGACCAGAGGTGGAGCTAAAAAAGCCTTCAAGCGTGCCATTCAAACATATAAAAAAGTGAACCGCAGAAATACACCCATCAATCCATTTAAAAAACTGCTCAGAGAAACCTTTTTGTCTCATTCTGCACTTCAGAAAATTATGAGACAACAAATCTGATGCTTTCATGATATCAAGTTTTGCACAAAAAAATTGTGAGCCGAAGTGAAGTCCCTCAAAACCTTAGAGGCCAAGAGAATGTTATCAGTGGAACACCTTCTCTTAATGAACCCTGCTTGACTATCATGAATAATGTGAAGCAACACCAGTTTAAGTCTGTTGGCTAAGACCTTAGCCACAATTTTATGAAATACATTGTAAAGGGATATGAGTATGTAGTCAGTGATGTTGGTGGCATGAGATCCTTTTGGGATAAGAATGATGACCGAGGCTTTGACACATTTTGGAAGGTAACCAGAATGATAAAAATTCTTGACGGTATTACAAACATGCAAGCCAATGATATGCCAAGAAATCTTGTAGACAGAAAAAGTGAAACCGTCTGGCCCAGGGGCTGAGTTACTTTGGCCATCAAACATCGTTGCCCTAATCTCCTCAATTGTAAATGGAGAAATGAGAGAAGGAATTAAGTTTGAAGGTATGACAAACCCAGGAGGAATGTTGTAGTTTAGAGCATTGGGACGTTAGGGAGAATTGTAAAGGTTTTTGAAATGATGAATAATCCCAGTAGCAATGTCATAGTGAGAGGTGAAATGACTCTCAGAGGTGGAGATTACCCTGATAAATGAAAAACGCAATTTTATTTTGTTTTATCTGAAGACTGAACTTTATTTTACTTTATATAGATAAAATTTCTAAATTGTCTCAATTAGAGGTCGATCTCGATTAAAAAGGTTCTAATCTTTATTTGTTCATAAGATTAAAATGGAGAGTGCATTTATAACGAAATTAATTATTTCTAAAGGAAATTTTGTTTAAAAATAGTTATAATTTAGTTGCTATGTTGGAATTTATTTATGTTAAAATAAGAAATTATTTATAAAGTTTTCATGTATATTATATATTATGTTTTGGAAGAAATTGAATGTTATTCTAACTTCGAAGATTTTTTTTTTGTGGGGGAGCTTTTCATGTTAATCACATGAAATTTCTACACTAACATATTTTTTATGTGCCTTAAAAATAAATTCATTTGTAAACATTTATTATCCAATTTTAGTAGAAAATTAAATGCCAAAGAATAAATCACACATCCTCATATACGACTCCCAAACCATTGCAATATCAAATGTAGATAATTTGCTTAATTATTACTCTCTAAGTGAATGAGATGTAGGCTCATTTGACATAACTTTTTTATTATTTTCTGAAATAATTTTTTAGTATAAAATTTTTTAGTTAAAAATATTTTTTACTAAAAAACTATTTTAGAAAGCAGTAAGAAAGATGCCCCACGACTTTCTTACTATTTTCTAAAGCTGCATTCAGTATAAAATTTTGAGTTCAAAAAATTTTTATACTGAAAAGTGTTGTAGAAATGTAATCTCTTGCTCTAGAGAGGAAGAAGTACTTCCTCTTCTTGATCTTGAGGAGGAGTGAGAGAGGGAAGGGGAGAGCCAAACTTAGATATATTCTTATGGCTTAAACCATACTTCATCCTAATACAATCTATAGCCTATTTATAGGCACAAAAGCAACATAACAGCAACACTATTGGTCATACATGCCAAACAAGAAACCTAAACAAAATACAAACATAAATCTAGAATCAATATCTAACAATCTCCACCTTGATCTTAGATTTACACAAAAAGATAATTATTGTCCACAAAGAACATCCCTGCTGGTCTTCCCCGCCAAAAGCCTCCACCGGACAGTTAATAATTTTTCTCAAGAACTGCTCCACATCTTCTTGAGTTTCCTGCTTCACAAGCTCTAGCTCCAACTCCCGACAGATCTTCTCCTGTCATACTGTCCCACGAAGTCAATTCCTGAGCACCAAGTGTGCCTCGCTTCCATGCCCTATGCATCGACCCGCACCCTGCGCCTCGCTTCCGTGCCCTATGCGTCCAACTATACCCTGCGCCATGTGCCAGCTCCCTCAGCCTCCAGCTCACGTCCTATGCCTCCAGCCCGCGCCCGCGCCTTCAGCCTGAGTCCTACGCCTCAAGCCAGCGCC